CTCCTGATCCAGGAAGGGGCATAACTGCCGCACAACACGAAGTCGTGCAAAGGCCCTCCTAACCATGACTGCCATCTGCTCTTCGAGCAGGAGCCGTGAATCCAGGAGAACCCCCAGATTACGCACTGGGTCTGTCTGGGGTAGTGCAACCCCGTCAAGAACCAAAGATGACAAGCCCCTAGATCCTGAGGCCCCCCATATCCACAGCCACTCCGTCTTACCAGGGTTCAGCTGAAGCCTGTTGTCCCCCATCCAGGCCCCCACAGCCTCCAGGCACTGCGAGAGGGCAGTCACAGTGTCACTTACACTTATTTACAAACTTTTTTTAATTACTCACATTTTAGGTAATCTGATGAGACAGTATCCATTAGAAGCATATGAGATGATAATATTTTATAAATATCTGAATGTTCTTGTTCTGGGAGGAATTTTAACAAGTTTTGATCCATGACTTCAGACTGTAAAATGACAAAACTGCATTAAAACACAGATAGAAAAATAGGCATCCCCATTCTTTGCAATCATTTTGAAAGTGTTAAAATTCTAATTCTAAAAATAATGTCTAATTCAAAAGGATTATATCAAATCTGCATGTTTGCCTATTCTTTTATCCAAAATAGAGGCACTAATCAAACAGGGATAATTTGATTGTCAGGATCCAAAGGTGATTTGTCTCCCTAAGTTCCAGGAGTGGTGAAACTGTTCTGGAATCTGGTCATTAGTGATGGCAGACTTCAAGCCCTTATCTCTTATTCTTACATGAAGAATAACATGTGCCTGTATCCAATCTTCTCGCATCTCACCTGTTCTCCAAACATCCTTAACAACTCCAGTAAGCTCCATTATCACTCTGGGATATAATTCATCTGTGTCTGGAAACTTGAAGTAGCATCTCCTTACTTATTCTGGGCTGAGAGTTCCTTCTTACTTTTACTTTTCCTGTGTAGAAAAGTAATGAGAGAAGGCACAGCCAAAAGAGAGATTATATATCCTGTTCAATAAATTGGCACACCAACCTTTTCTTTGTTTTTCTCTGCCTTGAATCAAAGCCAAAGAAACTTTGTTTTTGTTAGGTCGCCTCAGGATTTTTCTGTCATTTTGGGCTTTAGCTTTCCTGAGACAAGTCTAACAAATCTGGGTGACTCTGCTGTATTTATCCTTGTCTTTTTTTTCATTTCATACTCTTTTAAGTCTTATCTCCTCAATTTCCTGTGCAATCACATTGGTTTTCCGGCTTCTCATCCACGTGGAATAGTCTATGCCTTCAGTATTTCAATTTTCAGAATTTCTGATCTCAGTTTCTCTTCTTCGTTACATTTTTTTACTCTTAGCATAGAACTTTCAGCTTTTCTACACACTCAGCTCTTGCATTCCTTTCTAACAACAGTTCCAAAATAATGTTGCCTCATTCCAGGGGCTTCCAAATCTGGCTTGCAAAACTGCATAATCACAAGAGGACGGCAAAGAGATACGGAAAATTATGGCTCTTTGTTTCCCCAGAGTTTCCTATCAATGTCATTTCCATTTCACCCACAGGAGGGGCAAAGAAGAAGGGGTGTAGGTTAACAGAAGCACCATTATGGCATTCTGATGTAAGCTCCATCTCTTTTTCCATGCATCATGACATTGCACACACATAAAGTAGCAAATTCCTGCAGATGTCCAGGAGTTCATCTACTAGTTCTTTTTGGTTGGTCAAAGTAAATTTCATGGGGGCAGTTAAGATTGTTCCTTTTTCTACTTTCTGATTAAGTTCTCCACAGACTGGAAAAAACTTCTAAATTATATGGCAACAATAGAACTTACTCACTCTTTTGTGGAAAAGCACCTTGTAGTTTGTGGCTTTTTTCAGAGATTCTTTGCACAGAACAGGGTAAGTAAGATGCAAAATGAATGCATAAGAACCACTCACCGGCAAGTGTCCAAGAAGAGGTGTGATGCTATCAGAGACATACATAATGCTTCCATCAGTGGTAACTGCTATTACAAACCCATCTAGTGCCTATTGGGAAAAAAAGTATGTTAATTGGAACAAATATTATGGGAAACTACTAATTCACACCTTACAGATAAAGACCAAAATAAATATTTTAATGAATAGAAGCACAGAACCTTACAAAAACTATCTTGAAAAAAATCATTAACTGAAAGCAAAACTTTGTTTCTTTAAACAATTTATATGGCTGCCCATTGCATTACTGCAACTCTGGGCAGTTAGCAATGAATTGAAACTGAAAAACAGCAAAATTACTCAAAATAATTAAAAATAAATTACAACAGCAATCAATATGTACAAGGTTCAAATAAGATGAATGAATTACTAGAACAATACTTGAGATGCTATGTCTCTTATCAGCAGAACAAAGACTGATCAGAATTTACCTATAATAACTCAATAGTTGTTCCTCCCCAGGCAATCTATGGCTACTACCCCTGCATCTTGCCTTCACTGTTTGACTTTGCCCCTTTGACTTTCTCAGGAGGGGCAGGCTGCTCAGCTCCTTTTAAAGAGACAGACTTGGCTAAGGTTGCATGTAAGTGTACCGCAGATAGATGTAGGCAAAAAAAAAAAAAAATAGACAAGATTTAGCGGGGGTGGGGGTGGGATTTGGTGTGTCTTTCCACAAACTTTTTGCCTTCCACCAATTACAGTATATTGCCCCTTCCCAGTTAAACAAGTTAAGCCAGGGGCCTTCTGTCTACAATTGCCTGCATTCTTGAAGGTCCACATACACAGCGTACCTCATCAGCTATAATAAGATTCTACCATTCAAAAGGAGCCCATTATATCCCTGCAGCTTGCAAGGTCTTTCAAGCTAAGGTAGTACCTCAGCTCCTTTATGGCTCTCAGATTTGCTCACTTGCAAAGCTTAATAACA